AATTCAATTATTTCATTAACATTTATTATTTTTGCGATACAAATTTCGCAATGCAATTTTCATCATTTTATTAGGAAATTTTATATGAAATATGACATTAACATTTTTCAAAATTTTATATCAGAAAAAGTCATATCTTATGTAAATTTTCGGATACAAAATTACATGGGGTATGATTTTTTTGAAAGTAAATTTTCGATTGTAGAATTTCTTCCAATTTCTTTGCAAATTCGATTATGCCCCCTAACTTTTAAGTTCTATGTTCGCCCTTGAGTTTAGGCTTTAGTGGGTTTGAGTTCAATAATTGGGTAATTTTTGGACACGCTTGAGAAAATAGGTCATGAGACTTATTTTGTTCCATGCAGGTTTTCATCTCATAAGGCTCTAACGCTTTGTTTAATTTTTATTTATTTAGTTTATTATTATATATGACCGTTGTTATATTAAGATATTGATTGGTTTTTGAGTTTTTTTTTTTCCTATTATATTGGCATATGAACATTTGTGAGTGTATAAGACTGACTGTATGGCTTCAATTGTCGAATAATTTACAGTGAAATTCAATAATAAATTGAAATATTTTACACATCAATTTATTATTTGAGACCACTGATTTCTGAAATTGTTATACTAAATGTCTAAATGAAATGGTATCAACACAATCTTATATGTTTTTGTGTCATGGACAAATCAAAATATATTATAACTTCGATTGTATCTATGTTAATGTTTGCGCACTTAGTTCAATAATATATTCCTAGTAAGACTTCGACTTTTCAAATATTCGAAAATAACATACCGATTGCAGTTTCCCTCTCATTAAGTCCAACAATTTAGTACCAATATTTAAGAAACATTTTTGAATGACAATAATACTTTATAATTCGTCATTAAAATAATACTAAAGAGTATTGAAACCCATATAGCAAAATCACACATTTTAGTTGTCTGTCCTATGTTTACTTTAAATATATGTGTTGAGTCATATTATTGTTTTAGTGCAATAATTATTTTACGTGTAATAATGGATACTGACTATTTAATATAAGTTCATTTAATTACTTTCAAAAACAATATTAGTATTTCAAAAACATTATGCATATTATTCAGAAGCCATGCAAAGCACATGCTTACTACTAACATATACAAGTGCCGAAGTGCGACACAATCAAAAGTATTCATAAAATTGCAGCGGGGCCCCAATATTTGCGAAAATATGTCTAGAAACAACAATGTTCAAATCTTGACATCATCGTCTACGATCTTACATTTGTAATTGCGCAAGTTTTTACATATAGAATCCGTCCAAATTAACTTTAACAACATCTACAGGGCACATGTCTAACTTTTTCAAGAACAAAACAATATGTCCTGCATTAACACAAACAATTTAATAATAATAATTAAAAAAAAAAATCAGCATCTTCTTCATCCCATCCGACTAAAGGGGTCTAAAATTTCAACACCCATAGCTCCTCAGAATCTGCAATAACAATGACTAGCTTTGAGAGTGAAATTTCAATTTACCATTAATGCTAGAAGGTAGGCAAAAGTGAATATGTCTATTGTTTGGTCTTAAATGGGGGTTATTATTAGGTAATGGCCCTTAAAATAGTAGCCTAGTAGGTCATGCAAAAGTGTAAAGACGAGTCTTTTAAGTCGTTAATATAAAAGATACGAAAGTACGGTCACAAATATATAGACGAACCTTTTCACAAGGTTAAACTGAACTATAGTACATGGTAAAAATTTTACCCTCCTCAAAAGTCCATAAATCTTGCACTAAATTTGAACTCATGTAGATTGATAGGGGGAGGAACATGACAATTTTGTAAAATGGTCCATATTTTCTTCAAAAGAGGGTAGAGTTATGGTGTCACCATAAGGACTGACTTTATCAAAATTTGGCATAGAAAGGAATGATTTTAATATATATAGTTGTGAGAAGTCTCACTCAAAGCTACCATACAAAAGAGAAGTAAGAAATTAATATAGGGTTCTTAGATTTCAACACCCATTACTCCTCAGAATCTGCACTAACAATGACTAGCATTGAGAGTTAAATTTCAACTTACCATAAATGTTATAAGAGATACAAAAGTGAATATATCTATTGTTTGGTCTTAAAATGGGTTTTTAGTAATGACTCGTATGCATAAAGTCTGTTTGGTGTAAATTTTTTAATTATAAATTATGTGAAAAATACGGAACTTTTAAAGAATGTATGATTAAAAAGTAGAAAAACGTTATGATCCACGTGCAAAATTATTTTACTGGAAGAATGTGATTAAAAATAAGTTTGAAAAAATGAGTTTTAAAGAATCTGTTCCAAACCGGGGCATATGTATGTTAGCGCAAGCAATTTTATACCAATTGACAATTGAACCTAAATCGTGTGTGATTAATCAAATCTTGAATTGCATGAGAATGAATTTTGGAGCGCTTATCAATAACTTGGTTGATGCTGACGTTGAGGTTGTTTTTTATGATTGTAGAGCGTGCAATAATTTCAGCGTAGAAACAATTCTCCTCCTCTACGAGGAAAAAAAAAATCATGTTATTTAAGAGTTTTCACGGTGTTATTCACAATTATTTTCTAAAACTCGCACATGATGAGTTTTGAATTCTATACCGACTTCATTTAACACATGGAGAATAAGGTAATTGTTGAGGACCGGATCGATGTGACAAGTTCTTTGGCCAGGCTATATGAATTTGAAGTTGCGTAAAGGCACGCAGCCAAGAAATTTAGTTCTTAGCAGAGTTTGGTGGCGATGAAATAAAAATTGAAATGATTGATGGAGCAGAAAATAGAGATAAATGAAGTATTACAGAAGAGAATGATCCTATTTATAAGACAATAAATAAATAAAAATGGAAGGGTTATGTACTAATAAAACAATCAATTAATAATGAAATAAACGAAACATTGTACATTTTAGCAATATTTTAAAAGAGGAAATTACATGTGGCCCTATTTTTAAAGTTTGCACTTCATTAGTCAGATTTTAAGTTTAATTTTTCATAAATCAAGTTATAGTTAAAATAGTATAAATTAAAATAATCTACATATTCACCTAACACAACCCCACCCACCCATCTCAATTTTAATCTCAAACCCTAATTTATTTCTCCATCACTTCTCACTCGCTCAACTCTCTATTCTCACTCCCGTGGCGATCTTCTTCGACGATTTCTCTAATTAGGTGGTGGAGGTGACTGTACAGGTGGTGGTAAAGAGAAAACTGGTGGCGGGGTGAGTAGATAGGTGGTGTTTGTGGTTTTGTGACAAATAAATATTATATGACTTAAAAATTTAAATTGTGATTTTAACATTTGTGATTTGTGACCAAAAAATTGGAAATTTTGTGACCAATAAATAATATGTGACTTATTAATTTGATAGATTTGTAATCGATAAATAAATTGTGATTTTTAAATTTTTAATTTGTGACCGATGAACAAATTGTGACTTATAAATTTTTTGAATTGTGATCTTAAAATAATTTGTGACATAAAAATTTTGATTTGTGACTGAAAAATAATATGTGACTAATTAAATGGTTAATTTGTGACCAAATTATATAAATATGTGACATTAATAAATTTAATTAATTAAATCATAAATAAATTTTAATAAAAACTTGATTTTTGAAATTTAAAATCTATATCCTTAATTTTGAAATAGTGATACTTAAATATCTTATTTATATATTGTTCCCTTTTAAAAATCGGATCGGCCTAACCAGTTCAAGTGTTCAACTGGAAAAATTGAGAACTGGGACCAAAAGCAATCCGATTAGACATATAAAACCTCTAATTAAAAGTTCGCCCCAAAATCCATTAAATCGGCTGATTTTTTAAAAACCATTAACCTGTTCCCTTTTTAACCGGTTCAATCTATGTAAATTTATATTTTTTTAAAATTTTAAATGCATATATATTTTTTTAATTTTTGCAAAAGTATATTTTTAATTTTTTAATAATCACCGATTCGACTTCTGTTCAATCTTTTGACCCTTTCTCTTTTTGGGTCGATGGTTGGGTCCATTTTTTAAAAATTGCATTTTACTAATATATTTTTTCCAGATATAATTTAATGGACGGTTACAAGTACATAGTTCAGCAATTGTCCGTTCCTGCCTTATAAGCTGAAAAAATAATTACATTTGGTTAGAATTGTGTGTTCAGATCACAAGAGTGTTGTGGTTTACAAATTAAATTTTATTTTCAATAAATTTGTAATCTATTGCATATATTTTCTTTTCGTTTATATCAATTAGAAGATCCATGTAATTAAAATTTTGAGGTGTCAAAATTTAAATGAGACGAAGTTTTTTTTTTTTTTCGTTTTTCTTACCAGCTAAATTATGTTTTAAATTTTAGTGATGTATCAGAATTTGATTGTAGGGACAACTAATAGAACAACGAGATGGAAACATCTAATGAGATAATGAGATGGGAAAACGATACTTGAACTCATTGCAATTGTACTCGAGCAATGTGGGACATACTAAGACTCTCAACCACTGCCAAAAGTCACTAGGTACTCCACTTCCACACGAGACTAGATAAACAAATTTATCTCGTCTAGCTTGCGGACACATTCCATAAAATATATGGACTTAGCTATCACTATATAACTTACTCTATCGTGAGATAAGTCTTTACCTTATATAACGCACATTGTAACTCGGGCAATGTAAGACATGCTAACACTAAGAGTAACTAGATGCTCACTACAAAAATTTACAAATCTCATTCTTAACAAATATATTTATGCGATATCATGATAAAATTCAAAGAAAGCTTATTAGGCCTTATTTAGTGGAGATTAAAATCAGATTTTTAGTAAATTTTAATAAAAATTGATGAAATATGTGGTTGAAAGGTTGTGATTTTCATAAAATATGCGATTAAAATTAGTTATTGACTTTGACTTATATTAAAATTTAGATTTTAATATTTCTACCAAACATGGGGTTTTTTTTTTTTTTAACATTATACTTGCAAGTGTGGAATAGACCAACCTTATAAACATAGAATTGCTATGAAAAAGAAAAATAAAAAACATTGTGATCCAAAGGTTGGTCACTTGGTAAAAAAGAAAACCCTAGAAATGAAGCCTGCAGTTTTCCTAAAGGGTTTTCTTCAATATGAACACTGTACTTCATGAAAAGAGAGAAAATCACAGCCCTTGATCACACATCATCCTAGTGGTCCCTTCCACCATCATCCTAGTTTCTCTCTCTAAACTTGTTTAAATGCTGTGAAGAAACTCCTAAAAGTTGGAAATTCTGATAAGAGTACAGCATCAATTTCAATAGAGCAAATAATCTGTTTAATTATGGACATCAGCCATCAGAAGTTGATCACAAGCCCCTCCATCTATAATCCTAACATGGAAATGGAAGACTTTCCCTTTGAAACAATATGGCCTAACTTTCACATGAATCCCTCTTCGTCATCCCAATTACTCGTTCCCACGGGGATTTTGAAACTCGAAGGCGAAGAAGAACAAGAACCAGACGAAGAACTCAGCGCCATGAAGGAGATGATGTATAAAATTGCAGCCATGCAACCAGTGGACATTGATCCAGCTACAGTTCGGAGGCCTAAACGGCGAAATGTTCGAATAAGCGATGATCCACAAAGCGTCGCAGCCAGGCACCGCCGGGAGAGGATAAGCGAGAAAATCCGAATTCTGCAGAAGCTTGTGCCTGGAGGAACAAAATTGGATACTGCATCTATGTTGGATGAAGCCATTAGGTATGTGAAATTCTTGAAAAGGCAAATTCGTCAGCTGCAGCAAACAGGAAATCAAGTGGCGCCGCCGTGCCTAGAAGTTGCAGCAGGCTCTTCTGTTGCCGGAGATTGGGCGGCCGCCACCTCGTCTAGCAAAAGTCCTGGGTCTTTTGCGATTTCTCCCTTGGCAGGATGTGCATACATATTTGGAGGTCATGGGGCAGATGATCCCCATTTTCATTTGCATTAGCAATAAGGTACTAATTAAATGTTGATTAACGAGGAATTAAATTGTGTAATAATTTAAAATATTGTTTGTCAAGACTATATGAACTTGACTTTAAAGGAGATCGAGTTTCTCAAGTCAAGCCTTAACTTAGAAATGTGGGACACATTTTTTTTGTCATTACATTCTACTCGTCCTTTGAGAATCGTGCCATGCAACTTCGCGGAACCATCTTCTAATAGGCGGAACCGCTCTTCATATTAATTCTTACTTCCTCAATCAAGTTCATTAATCATAAAATCTATATGTCACGCCATCAATTGTTACAATTATGTTGGGTGCAACATGCTTTAAAAATTGATGTTCGTAAATGGGTGCGCCCAAGTAATTGTAAATCTATCTAAATTTAGTCATACGGAAGAATTAGTACATTAATCTACTCTTTCTTTCATAACTGACATCCATAGAAACCCATAGATTCAACCATGCGTTTTTGAAAAAACCGGTTGTCTACCGTAAGTAACTTTCTTCAAATAGTCGATACCTTCCCACGATTTTCATTCTCGAAATCCACGTTCTAGCTAGTACTATTTTTACAACTATATCGATGCAATACATCTTTAGAACCGATTTGTGAAACAAAGATTGATAAGAAATTATAAGTTTACAAACTAAACCTAAACTTCGAAAGTCTTACAAATTACGTTTGAAGCCAATTTGAATAAGGATTTTGTGTTAGAAATGAAGTTGTGTGTGATCCTAAGAAAATGCAGTTAGGATTTTGTTGACTAAAGGGCAGAGGAATAATCATAACGGTTAGCTTGAATTGCGTTCTTCCATGTATTAATATATTGAATAAGGGTTTTCTTGTTCCAGTCCTAAAGTTCTTTTGTCCAATTCCTTCCCAATGCATAAAACTGTGACGTGAGAAGCCATTGAATATAATTACTATCCTCTTTCTCTCTCCTCTCGCACTCTACACAGCTAGAAACCATGCATGCTTCTGTCATGGATTACTCACCCTAGGTAGTTGCCGATCTCGAGCTAACACAAGTCGTGTGTTGTGTGCTTTGTCCGAATCTCCTTCGGCCATAGCACATTGACAATGTTGCCCATGTTGACAAGATAGTTGTGTTGAGAATTAAAAACTGTAATACTATATCACCAAGAGCAATAAAATCGTAATAAATACACAAGAAGGCAAAAGAATTATGAAGATTTGTCTCGACGTGAGATTACGTTCATACTAGTCGCTCTTGTGAAATGAAATACTATACTTTTTAATTCAAGAATCCCTCTTGCGAAATGAAATTAAAAAAAATAAGCGGATCATTATGATCAAGATAAGAATAAGATATGCGTTCTATATTATAGAGAATTTGTGTCGATGAACAAAGGCCGAGCTACTCGTGTCCATTCTTTCTTGTGTATTTTACTTATAATTGAATGTTTGAGCTTCCACACAACAAAATGAAAATTAATTGGCATGATTTAAGTTTCCTTACATCTTTAATTTGTAAGTTCCTTTAGTTAAATCTTGAAGTCGTAAAATATAATGTACAAAATGTTGAATTGACTTCTATTACATATAATGAACAAAGTTGTTAGCATGTCACGTAAGCACAAAGAAATGGTACACGCTGAATTTCATCAAAAAAGTGAACATTTTATTGATCAAATTATTATAATAAACAATATTTTTCAATTACTAATTGAACTATAAAATTATTTATAGAACTCCAACAACTTTGATATTTCTTACACAACAATACACTAAACGTGGTCTATTTGTAGACGTATCTATAACTAACTATGTTGAACTCGATTCAATAGTTTAAACGTATAGAATTAGTTAACTCTAAGAAATTTTTAGTTGTATTTCTCAAAGGTTTTTGAAAAGTTACTCCAATAAGCATGTTTTTATTTACCAAGGGTTAAAATGGTAAGTAGAGGCTATGGAAAGCGACTAAATTATAATTTAAGCCGATCAAGTGTACATTTGTTCTCATATTTCGTAGGATTCATGATTATCACTCACTTATTATCTATATATTCAGTAAGATCCACAATTTATAATCACTTTAATTTTACTTCCACCACTTTCAAACCTGCAGTGACACTCAATGGAGGCTATGTGACACGACATGATTCGACAATGATATGAATTGTGGATTGTGCCCATCCATGCCTAATCTCAACCATTGATTTGAATCCATGCTGAGTTCAAGGTTAAGTGTCCTCGAGAGCCTTTTGTATATTTGTATATTTATTATCTTATTCATCATAAACGATTTGACCTCGATCTTACTAAGTAGGAACTGTCAAATTGCAAAGTTTGAAGTGTCTAGTTTTTAAACTGTATGAAACAATTAGGCCATGTTTAGTGGAGATTTAAATTAGATTTTTAGTAGATTTCGATTAATCTGATGAAATGTGTTGTTGAAAAGTTGTGGATCTCATGAAACATGTTATTAAAATTAATTGTTGACTTTAACTTAAATTAAAATCTAGACTTTAATTTCTATCAATAAAGACTAAGTAATACAATATTTACGATTTTAGTTGTTTGATATGCACTATTCTCTTTATTTAATGATCTTAAAATGTAAAATAATATTAAAAATTACAAAATGCCTTTTTTGGAATCTTGGAATTAAAGTTCAATGGTGTAAGTGCTCCAAATATAAGTTCGATGACTTGATTGCAAGTAAGGCTAAACTTCAGTGACCGCGGCAAAAGGCAAGTAGATTTTGTTACTTTTGATGGTCATGTCACAGTGACTAGTTCTTTTTTGGTGGATGAACGGAAGGCTGGCGAGTGAACAATTGCTCCCATATTAAAATACAGTGGTATGATTGCTTCGACTTAAAGTTCAGTGGCCTGACTGCAACCAAGGGTAAAATTCAATGATCGCATGTGAAATTTTCACATTGCAAATGTCCGCATTTTGAATAGGTGAGGTCACAGATAATATTACTAATTTCGCCGGCTCAAATGGTTACCATGAGTATTTCTTAATTATTTTTTAAAAGAAAAAAAAATCATTCATTTGTGATCTCATATTATGTTTAGGTTCAGTTCAGTGCTCTTTGAGTATGTTTGATTAACTGTTTTTAGTTTTGCAGAATACTGAAAAATGTGTTTAATTTGGCATTTTTAAAATGTATTTTCGAAAATAAGGATATACTTATAAACATAAAACTCAAAACGCATTTTTGACATTTTAAGTGTTTTAGTGGAAATTTTGAAAACATGGAAAACGAGCGTTTAAATAACACCTATTTAATTAAAATTTTAAAAAATAGAAATATAAATTTTAACAGAATGATACAAGTTCATCCTCCAACTATTTTTAATAATAAGTATGTCCTACAACTACTTGGATCATGGTAGTTAGTCCTCCATCTATTTCTCCTACGCAAGTTAGTCACCCAACTATTTGATTAACACAAGTTCGACCTTCTACTACTTTGATCACGTAAGTTGGTCCTTAAACTATATGGATGGCCAAGTCAAACATCCAACTACGTGGATAGAGTAAGTGTGTCCTCAAACTATATTTTGTTTAGCAAGTTAGTCCTCGATTATATTTGATGCACAATTTTATCCTCCAACTAATTTGTAAGGGAAAGTAGGTCCTCCAACTACTTGGATCACGTAAGTTAGCCATCTAACGATGTGAATCACCAAGATAGTCCTCCAACTATTTGGTCCATGCAAGTCGATCCCCTATCTATGTGAATCGTGTAAGTTGGTCATCCAACTATTAGGTTAACACAAATACGACCTCCAACTATTTGGATCACGGATGGTGGTCCTTAAACTATATGGATAGCCAAAACAAGCCTCCAACTATGTGCATAGAGCAAGTTTATTCTCCAACTATTTGGAGCTCGCAACTTGGTCCTCCACCTATGTTGATCGTGCAATTTTTTTCCACTAGTTGATATTACGAACTTTCATTATGTTAGACTTTTAGTCACGTGTGAATATAATAATTAAATATTTTATAGAATCGCATATTATAGACTTGCATTAATTTATAAAACGTCACATTTAGTCAATTCATTTAAATAATGATTGTACACTTCCTTTCACTAGTTGTACTTTCTTTATCTGAATAAAAACACACACCTTGACAGCACCAAAATTGTCTGAACAACCATTAAGTGTTGTACAAATAGCTTGATTCTTATTATTTCACCCTCCTCCACCCACCCTATTTTCTCAATCTACTCTTTTCTCTCTAATTAAAAAAACCTAATCCTAAATTTTCTAATGTGTTTAACTCTCTTTCTTTCATCTCTGCAACGATCTATTAAATTGACTTTATGGTTCTGTTTATAAGTTATAAGCCGTAGGATTGTTTTTTATTATGTTAAGCCGCCTATTTGTCATCCATTTTATCAAACATTATTTGCTACAATAAATAATCTTCACCACATATTCACTTAATGATAAGTGTGTTTTGCACACTTATTTAGGCCACAAAATATAGAAAATTGTTGATGAATATGTTAAAACATGGCTTAATTAGATATAATTTGTATTTGTAGGATTACAAAACATGGATGGAATGAAGACTATTAGAAAACAAACGAAAAATGACCAAAATGGTAGAACATAAAACTTCGAGGACCAAAATGCAATTATTCAGAAGATAACCCGAATGATGTATCAAGCATGAAATTGAGATAAATAACACATTGTGATATCATGGGATGTTAGAAGAAGAATGAGAAGGAATTAAGGTCAAAAGGCGGAGAAACAAACTAGGGGACCAAAGTGAATCAAAGGGAAAATAATTTCTACCGTGCAGTCGCCCAAGCACTAACATGAGATGAACAGTGAAAATTTTGTATAACCATACTGTCGCATGTGTTTATACCATGCAGTTGCATGGTTCATTCTGGGCGCGAGTTTTCTGGTTTCCTTATTTCAATCAAACACTTAACGCATCTAGAATTTCTTTATAACCCTAATCTCGTCCAAAAAGAGGGGTATGCATTTTTTAGAGAAAAATA